CAACATATTCTGTTACACCAAATACACCAAATAATGATCTTTAAAATAGCATCATATGACCCCTTTAAAATAATCAAAAATCTCACCTTCAGAGCAAACATTGATAAACATGTCCCAGCCATGTTCATCACTTTGCGGTTCCCTTAAACATTTCCGTTGTGGTCTCTGTGCCTATTTGCAGTGCGTTTCTGTATTTGGTTGTGTTGTGGGCATTTGCGGCGCGTTTCTGTATTTGGCTGCCACCGTAGTTTGGCTCTGTGTACCTTATTCTGGTCATTTGATTTTCTACTTAAAAAGAAATAAAGACAAATGAGAATCTTTTGTTTTGTTTAAGAAATGGAAAAACTAAAATTAAGCTAGATTTTTATTCTAGGCATATTTAAGAAAAACCTCACAGGTAACATGTTTTTATTCACTATTACAAACAGCAATTGAAGCTATACATCTCTTATAGCACACAATAAGTAGGCTTCTGCACTTCTCAGGTCGACGGAGGCGCCGGCGCTATCCCGATAACAGTGGAAGGAGTTTAAACCATAATTTTTGGTTATACAAATAAGACACCCACAATAACAACAAAACGTTACAAAACCCTTTTGTAAAACAAAGAAAACAAACAGGGTGTGCTTTCTGCCATCTTGGTCTCCAAGAACTTCTTTCTGAAATGCATCACAAAAATGAACCGATGTTCAGCGAATGCTTGCCTCACATAAGAAACAAGAAAGCTTGAAATGTCTATTTTTAAATGAAATAATTTAAATTGAAAACTTTTTTTATGTAATTCGAATCGTATGAAACCAACAAGAGGTAGGCCTACAGTGTTTCCCATCTGAGCTCATTATCTGTAATGCATTCATAAGGTAATCATCTAAGGAAATAAGGCTAAGGAATATACCTTGTATTTACCTCAGAAAAAAAACGTGATGCGACGCTCAGCTTGATCCAGCAGAGGATATCATTTCTGACTAGAAAATCATTAATTCTTACTTACAATAGTTACATTAACTTGTTCTCATTTACTAGTTGGGTTTTTCCAAAACAATAGTCTATGTGGAAGACTGAATCGATGCAGGACTTTAAATGATCCTGCTTCAGTTCATAATTCCAAAATATAGTCTATAATTGGGTCTTTAACCATTGCAGTAGACTAATTATTGCGGTGAAAACTTAAGTAAAGTTTTATTATAAATAACATTAGTTATTTTTATGTGGGGTTGGGTTTTTCTCATGAAACACAAACTTTGTTATATAAAAAAATCAATTCTGCTATTGTTTGTAATAGCAAATGAATGAAAATATGTTACCTGTGAGGTTTGTCTTAAATAGGCCTAGAATAAAATGACTAGGCTAAAATCAGCAATCGCGAGTGTATTTTATTCCATGTCGTTTTAGATCACATACAGTAAAAGTCAAATTTTACAGGTTATGAATAAAGTAATTTCTGTTTTGTCAATAACATGCAGTAACCGTAAAAATATAGATTTTTAAAAATCTCGTAAGCGCCGTTAACAGGACAAAGACGCAGGATTCTTATGAATAAGCTCGGTTCGCATGAACTGAGCTCGCGGTTGCCGCGTATACAGTGTAGTACAGAAGATGGGGGACGAAAGGGCCGTTTCAGGACCACCCATTCGAAACAAATATGAAAGCATAATTGAATTTTTTACCCATGAACAAAATTATGAAAAATCTAGCTTAAACAAAAGGAAAAAACAAAAATCAAACCATTTCTCTTGATTTCTTTTTAAGTAGAAAATCAAATGACCAGAAGATACACGGACCTGTTTGGTTACCCACATTCTTCAAACTCAGAAGATGGCAGGAATGTAATTTTTTTCTTCTTCTTTACACATTTTTGGTATTTTAATGGCAGTTGGCAAACCATCGTAAAAGCACCTGGCGGACTAGAATATGTGGTGATTAATGGCATAGTGATGGGAGAAACTCTCAATCAATTGAACTAGTTGCTTTGCAAAATGATTCACTGGCCCTGTCCCAAATGGCATCCTAAATCCTCGCGATAATCCCCACTTTCGTGATGTCGCTTTGACTGTCGGGGAGAAGTCTGCTGCAGAGCTCACCTCAGTCTGGGCTCGGCAGAAGTGCAGATCGAAGGAACATAGCAGCCACAAAGGCCCTGTCCCAAATGGCACACTTCATGTGCACTTTCAGTCTTGAGGACTCACAATGGCCGCTGCATGCACGTGTCCGTTAAGTCCACGAGACTGTAGGGTGTCCCATTCGTCATTTTAGCTTTCAAAAGCTAAATGTGCCCGGCCGCTATGTGCCCTCAATGCGCACTTTTGCCGCACTGAGGCGAGCTCCACAGCAGACTTCTACCCGACAGTCAAAGCAACATTACGTCACGAAAGTGCGGACTCAGAGGAAGACCGTGAGGGTTTAAGGTGACATGTGGGACAGGGCCAAAAGGGAAGCTCATGAGCACCCTTTTGAAAGCTAAAATGATGACACCACACATGAAAACACCACATGCTGGCGACACCTGCTGGTCAGAACAGTGTTACTGTAAAGTTTGCCCAAATGTGCAGAAAGACACCTTTTTCAAACCAATTACAAAAGTGTCTATGAAAGTATAATCAATTAAATGTAATCTAATAATCATTAAATACCCTTAAATATTAAGTGCCTGTATAATTTGTGTTCTTTTATAAATGTTTTATTAAGATGTTTTTAGGCAGGACTTGGCTAATGAAATTAGAAACAGATAACTTAACACTTTCCCTTTTTGATTATGCATGCATGTTCATTAAAACTGCGAACCACTGATTCAGAACAAAATATTCGCAAAGGTTTCGAAATCACCTATGACACAAGGGAAGTACAGTTGCTTATATATTGGGCTATTTTTCACCAAACTCGATCAGAATACTTTAAAATGATCAGCATATAATTTTTTACTGTAAGTTAGTGCATTGGTGCTACAGAGTCACAAATTCACTGCCATTACATAATTGAATTCACCCACCCAGATATTTATTAAATTGCCTCCTTTTTGATCTACAGAAGAAAGAAAGTCATATGTTTGGAACATAGTGAGGGCATGAGTAAATGATGACTTGAGAATGATGAGAGTTTTCTTTTTTTTTTGTGAATTATCCCTTTAAGACGGACTGTTATTAAAGATTTCCACATCCTGAAACACAAACCCATGTTACTATATTGTAAATATTTACATACACATTCACCTTTTTATTTCATGCTTAAAGACACACTTCCTTCATGTTTTCATCCTCTCAAAATTGTGGTAATCTCTTCACCCCAGCATGCACTTATTCTTTCCATGCTTTAATGCTCTTAACTGTGCTTCAGTATTTTTACTCCTTCTTTTCTCACTGTTTTATCTCTACTCTCTTTATTCTCTCAACATGATTACGGGTGAAGTAAGAGGGGATGTAGTTATCCAGCATGGATCAGTCAATGCTCTTTGAAAGTGCTCAGCATGGACTGAGGGTCGATCCTCCCTAAACCCACTCCATCATGGATTGACAGAGGTCTTTTAGCATTCTGCTGATCAGATACACTGCCAGCAACAGGAAGAGGGATGTTTAAAAAGAAAGGGAAGCAAAAGAATAAGGCAGCTGCAGTTGTTGTGTTTTTAAAAGTGAGAATCATTGAGATATTTACAGAGCTATTGATTCATGACCATTTAGTTGTTGATGTGTGCTGGTTCTAAAATCTTTGGAATCTGTTGATTGTGTTTTAAAAGAATAGTTTACATAGACAAGAAAATTCAGTCATGATTTATTCACTCTCATGTCATTCCTAACCCCTGTCGTGTTGATTTTCAGTGGAACACTAAGACAAAATTGTGATCATGTTTGTTAAGCACCAAAAATGGCACCATAAAAGTAGTTCATTGGACTTGTGTGTTATATTCCAGTTCTTCTGCAGCCATACAATTTGTGTAATGAAATGTAGTTGTTAATGATGAATAATCTTACTCTCCAGTGAGCTACTGGATCACTGAGTCAGTGATTTGAACTTGAGAACTGAATCTTTAAACAAATTGTTCTTTTGACCATTGAAATTTTTTTCAGTTGTCTGTTTCACAAATCAAGCCGAGCAATTCATATAAATCAGCCAGGTTAACGTTTGTACTATTTTCTAACATAGTAAAAAGTCCTGAAACATACAACCTTCAAAAAACTGAATTACCCCACCAAAAAAATTTATAAATAAAATTACTGAATTGCCTGTTTACCAAAAGAAAGAAAGAGTAAATAAGGACTGAATTTATGAATAAAAGTTGATCTTGGTAGTATGTGTTCTAACTGATTCTACTGTTTTTAGAAGGAGAAGCGACTGGTGCGGCAAACGTCCAGACCTCAGCACCTCCCATCCAAAATGTATCATCCATAGTGACCGCTTGTGCAGCAACTATAAAGAATATCTCTTTGGTTTTGAGACTTTAGTGTTTGCAACTTTACAGATCTTCTTTATGCACCAAGAGCTTGTAACACTCCAAAGAGAAAGGAAAAATTTAAATCGCATCATATGACCCCTTTAACAACCGTCCTATTTGCCATTGTGTGTGTCACCTACCAGACA